AAAAAAAAAAAAAAAAAAAAAAAAAAGCGTTCCCTATTTGAGGAAAAAGTTTAATTTCATAATTTGGAGCCAATTTAGAGTAAAGTACACCTGAAAAATCAAAATATGTTTTAAACTCTCAAGACCTAGAGTTCGATCAGAGAGGGAATATCCGTTATGGAGAAAAACGTTCGAAGGAACGCACAAGCGTTGACCACTGACGGACGGACAAACGTTTTGGCGGCAACAAATTTTGGGGTACCAAGGATTCTGACTTTGCAACATATTAAAAGGAAGTATTTTTCTGTATGTAGGAAAAGATTTATCCACTGTTTTGCATACAAATATTTCTGTCGAATAATCTGCGCTTTTCGTCGCAATATTACATCACATTCTGTGTACTACGTAGGACGTAAGCGATAAAGTAAAAAGAATAAATAATAATTAGATGTGGAAAAAATCAAGAAAATATATTCTATAAATTATCTTATACATTTCTAATTTCCGTAATTTTCTTTCCTTGTTCTAGCAAAGAGATTGAGTCACATTTCTCTGAAATTGTTTTTCAATGTAAATTTAAGTTATTGTTTCACTATTTATTCAAATATATAATTTATCATAATCATAAATAGTCTGCCAAAAGATCAGTCAAGTGAATTAGAAAAAAAAATTGTTTTTTATTAGATTATTCAGTTCCCACCAGGTACATAAAAATGTCTACAAGTTCTTTTCTTTGAATCTCAATACTCGCGATATAAGTTCAATTCCTACGTGACTTTCTACTAAAATTTGTTCCTAGAAAGTCATTTGATCCTGAAAAATTTTATACATCCGTCTCTCAAACATACCAACCTCTCGAATGACTCGAAGGTTTTGAATTTCGTAGGGTGTCGTCTGAAGGTTAAAGAATTTATAGACAATAACTTTCGTTACTGCGAGGGTTTTCATATCTTGTACATGAATCTTTCCCTCTTGTTTTATTTCAATTCATTAATTTAAAAAAATCGTTTTGATTGCGTACGGTACATGTTCCCTAGCCCTAAAATGGACCTTTATCTATATTTTAATATAGCATTATGTTAATAGTTTACAATTATTGTATTTACATATTTGCTGTTTATATGGACTGTTATAGGTTTTGTGGGTCAGTCTGAAAATCAGTGATTACATTGAAACATGCCGTTGCCGTTTTCTCAGATCACTATTATTTATTTTATGAATTAAATTGAATTCTCTTAATATATATATGATTCAAAAGAAAAATGTTCAATAGAGAATTATTATTATTATTATTATTATTATTATTATTATTATTATTATTATTATTATTATTATTATAAATGCGATCTTGAGGACAGGTGGGGTTGACGCTTCGAGAAGGGAGCTGCAGAGGCGCGGGTTGGGGTGGGAGAATTCGTCTTCGTCGCCATCCCAATGGCAAAAGTGCTTCAACCGGCATTTTTTTCTGTGTTCGGATTCAAAATCATGTCCTTTGAGTCAATATGCCAAGAAGTTACTGCTACACAACAGATTTCATTTAGAAAAATACGGTTGTTGCAGGAAGACGCCGAAAAAAACTGAACCTTTGCAATTTTCGAAAATTCGATTTTAGTGAAAATAGCGTCCTTAAGGAAAATGTTTAAATAAAAAATCAAGACGTTTTAGACCATTTTGAAAATGTTGAGGATTCACGCAAAATACTCCCCAAAACTATAAATATCCGTTTCCCGTCCGCTGAGCAGACAGACGGACATACATTTCGCCGTTAAATATTATTTCGGTATCATGGGCCCCCAAAACGTGGATTCAGACTACACAACGGGGTATAGGTAATCATTTACTACGAAGAAAGAAGACATTCACTTTTTCGTTACCAGGCCCCGCACTAGTTTTTGTATTGTTTTTAGAGTTTTTCTGTCAAAAAATCGCCCATTTCTGTCGCAGCATTGCAATACTTTCTCTCTACTACGTAAGTATGTAGAAAGATGAGAAATTAAAAATATCAATGTTCAAAAATGTAATTGTATGAGGACGTTGAAAAAAGTTTGAACTTTTGCAATCGCATCGTTTGAAAAAACTAAGAGGTACTAATGAAAATCAGGCCTGAGTCATTTTTATGAGCTTCTTTTTTAAGGTCGCTTTTGAACAACTTGGTCATATACGTAGCGGCCTCTGTGATTCTTTTAACTGTAGGGGGAACACATCCACGCCCGGGCGGAATCCGAACTCGACTCCGCAGGCCGGCTTTTATGAGTTTATTTTGTGCTATTCAAATTATATTTAAATTAAATATGGAGATATTTAAAATATCGAAAATGTGGTTAGGTCTTCTTGTAAAGTACCCCCACCCAAAAAATTAAAAATTCCATTCAATTTCGAGAGTCCGCGACACAGAAATATCGGGGAATATCAAAATTGTGATGTCCTTGGTGTAATTTAGGCAGAAGTGTTTTTAACAGACAAACACCCGAAGATAAGCCACCAGGTAAAGCTATATATTACAGAAAGTAATTCGTAAAAGTAATTTATAAGTAATATATGAAGAAAAA